AATGTAGGCTACCTGAGAGCCTGTGTTCTTAGCATAGTTCCTTAGGCTAAAGCCTTGGTGATAATTGTGTTTTGGAATTCAGAATTTTTCAAGTTTTAGGATAGAAATACCATGTGTGTGCCTTTATATTTTTGGTAGAATATGGGCAGCACCCTGTAATTGGACTTAATAGCTCTGTCAACACCTATGAATATTCACACTAAGCAGATTAAATAGCACTATACATAGCCTCATCATTTCAGGTCAGGTTTTGTCATCACCAAATGTTTTTTTTTTAATTGGTTTACACACCTGAGGATTCTGTCATTTCACATATGGGATTAAGGCTCTGTACTGTGTAGCCTCTCGGGGGCTTTCCTAAGTCGAGCAACTTTTGGCAGTGGAACAGGAAAGAATCCTAATGAATTCATACTTCTTATAGTTTTTGTTTTTGTGATTTTTATTTTTGGGATTTTTTAAAATCCATATTTCTTACGCATGCATTTTTGCAATGCTGGGGATCAGACCCAGGGCTTTGTACATGAGTAGGTAAGTGTTCTACCACACTGAGCCCCATCCCCTTATTTATTTATTGTTTGTTTGTTAGTTATAGTTGGACACAATACCTTTATTTTATTTATTTTTATGTGGTGCTAAGGATTGAACCCAGGGTCTCGCAAGTGCTAGATGTGCTCTCTATCACTGAGCCACAACCCCAGCCCCCCATATTATTTTTAAAAACTGAAATAGGGCTGGGGTTGTAGCTCAGTGGATGAACACTTGCCTCAAATGGGTGGGGCACTGGGTTCAATCCTCAGCACCACATAAACAAATAAATAAAATGAAGTTATTGTGTCTACAATTAAAAAAATATTAAAAAAAAAAAAACTGAAATAGCTTATTCCCCAAGCTCAGGAAGCAAGTATCACTCTTTGTAAAGGTCAGCCAATACAGAGTGTTTTTTATAAAGAAGAAAATTAAAATCATCTATAATCTTATCATTCAGAGTAATTAACTATTACTGATCTTCTAGATTTTCTTTTCTGTGTAGGAACACATAAAGGAAAAATATATTATTTTAAGTGGGCTTAATTTGCCTAGATTTGAATTCTGTGTGATTAACTAGATATGTGACCTTGGGGAAATTAACCACTTTGTGCCTGTGTTTCTTTATCCATACGGTGGGGTGATCATAGTGCTTTCCTGGCCAGGTTTTCTTAGGTACCAAGTGAATCGCTTAGAGCAGCACCAGGGGCATGGTGCCCTCCCCTCAGCTATTATTGTTTCATGTTTTTCACTTGCTACTTTCAGTTTTCACTTTTAATAAAGCATTCTGAGGTAATAAAAAGGTATAGAGGCACATAAATTTTAATAGTCATATAGTATCCTTCTGTGTAGATTTTTTTTTTTTCATGGTGCTGGGGGTTGAACCCAGGGCCTTGTGCATGCGACACAAGCACTCTACCAACTGAGCTGTATCCCCAGCCCTGTGTAGATATTCTTTGATTTATTTAAACACTGCAAATGAGCATACTTGTACCTATTTTTCTTTTCATTTGCCCACCTATCTTGTTAGAATAACCCCTAGAAATGGAATCACTGACTAAAAGCACATATCCTTTAAAAAATTGTATGCAAATAACCTAACTTAAATTAAAAATGGATTTTTTTTTTCTTTTGGCTGTTTGGGGGATCCCCCGTTTTGCTGCTTCACTTTTTTTTTTTTTTTTAAGGAACCCTTTTGAAATAGAGCATTACTTCTTTTTGTTTGTTTGTTTAGTTATAGAAAGACACAAGACCTTTATTTTATTTTTATGTGGTGCTGAGAATCGAACCCAGTGCCTCCAGCATGCTAGGCAAGCGCTCTGCCACTGAGCCACAACCCCAGCCCTACTGCTTCACTTTTGTACACTTGATTTTCAAAGCCTGGTTTTAAATATCTCAAATCCAAATCTGCATTGTATCCTGGAATGTTTAAGTTATGGTTTACATTACTACTCTGCTGAAACCTGTTACATACTTACTTTTTGTTTCTTTCTCTTTTCCCTGCCCTATTAGGGAAAAAAATGCCCAGGGGCACTGTAGCACTGAGTTGCTGAGGCTGGCCACATATTTGCAGTCCTCCTGCCTCAGCCTCTCCAGTCACTAGGATTATAGGCCTCCACCACCTCACCTAGCCAACAGTAGTGTCTTAACTAAGTCATTATATTCTTTAGGTTTTCTAATTGGCTAGAAGGCTTTCTGTTGAGAAGGCAGAATTTCTAGCCAGAAATAATATGATTGACTGTGTGAAGGAAAACAGGTGATGAGTAGCCCTTTTGATGACAGTACCTTGGGAAATGAGGGTAGAGATAATGAACTTTGAACTCACAGTCCTCCTGCCCCAGCCTTCCAGGGATAATGAACTCTTGAAGTAGTTCAGCTAGTATCTCAAAAGGACTTCATTGCCATAGTCAGATCCCATTGAATTGGTGTCTTTTCTATCAGGAAAATACCCTAAATGCTGATGCACAGAGTACTATTACATGCCCACCGCGTACTCTGAGAACTGGTGTCTATTCCATCTTCCCACCCTTCAGACTTTGTAAGCAACAACGTTAAAGCAGCCTGAGTGGGGTTTTGCAAACCATGTTGTCATACCAGTTGCTGAAGAGGGAAGCCAAACTGTCCACCTAATTTGGAACCTCTCAGCTTCTATTAGATTGATACTTCTGCTCAAGGTTTCCTTTAAAAAAAAAAAAAAAAAAGGGCCCTGCAGCTTTAAGAACAAGAACAAATTTTTTAAAAAATAGCTCAGTATTAGTCACATGTGGAGGCTCAACGCCTACAATGCTCTACTTGGGAGGCTGAGACTGAAGGATCCACAAGTTTCAGATGGGCCTTGACAACTTAGTGAGACCCGGGGATTACTGTTGTGAACTTTTTTCAACAATTGTTTTTTCTTTTTTTTTTTTTTTTCCCCTTCCTTTCTCTTTTTATCTTTCTGTCCATACCAGGGATGCTCTACCACTAAGCTACATCTGCAGTCCTTTATTTATTTATTTATTTTGATTTTTATTTTGAGACAGGGTTTCCCTACATTGCTGAGGGTCTCACTAACTTGTTGAGGTTGGCCTTGAACTTGGAATCCTCCTACCTCACTGGGATTACAGGTGTGTACCACCACACCTGGTGTGAGGCTTTGATTCAAACTACAATAAAAAGAGGTGGGGATGCAGCTCAGTGATAGAGTGCTCGCCTAGCCTAGCATGTTTGAGGCCTTGGCTTCAAATCTCATTACCACAAGATGGAAAGACAAAATTTTTCTTTCCAGTATTTACTAACACCTGGATATTAGGACAGCTTATTTGGTCTTGAGCCAAATAAAGGTGACAAGTAGAAGTAGGGATTGGGGAAAATATCAAATGTTATTTCAAAGACAAAAGAACTAAAAATTTGTGTTCCTGGGCTGGTGATGTGGCTCAAGCGGTGGCGCGCTCGCCTGGCATGCATGCGGCCCGGGTTCGATCCTCAGCACCACATACAAAGATGTTGTGTCCGCCAGTAACTAAAAAATAAATATTAAAATTCTCTCTCTCTCTCTCTCTCTCTCTCTCTTAAAAAAAAAAAATTGTGTTCCTCTGAAACATTTGTTTTCTAACATGAGCCAAATTTCTGTTCTTTCAAAATGTGGTCTCTGTAGCTCAAAGTTCAGCCTGGATAGCCTTAGAAGCCATTCTTCGTGTGAAGCCTGTGGTTTCATCAGAGTCCCTTCACATCAGGCCTTGGAAGTCTGCCCATTTGTGCTAGTCTGAGACTCTAGCTAGGAGAGGCCTAGAGGTCACCATATTGACATTTGACTCACAGGACATAAGAACTTTATTTTGCCTCCTTTTTTACCCATTTGGTAGCAGCATTTTAAAATTATTTTGTTTATTTTTTTGTGATACTGGGGATCAAATCCAGGGCCTCCTACATGCTAGGCAAGTTCCCTACACTGAGTCATACATTTATTGAGCACCTGCTATGTACTATGTACTTTCTATGCTAAGTGCTTTGAATATAATACAGATGCTGCTCAATGTATGATAGAGTCACATCCCAATAAATGCATTGTAAGTTGAAAGTATCATAGGTCGAAAATGCACTTAATTAATTACCTCACCCTTGGGGCTGGGGTTGTGGCTCAGTGGTAAAGTGCTCATCTAGCACTTGCAAGGCCCTGGGTTTGATCCTCAGCACCACATAAAAATAAATAAAATAAAGGTATTTTGTCCAACTACAAATAAAAAATAAATATTTTTTAAAAATTACCTCACTTACTAAACACCACAGCATAGCAACACAACATACTATGGAGGATCAGTTGTTTGCCCTCACATTCATGTAGCTGACTGGGAGCTGAGGTTCACTGCCACTGCCCAGCATCTCAAGCATTATTCCACATATTGCTAGCCTTGGAACAGATGAAAAAATGGAAGTGGGCTTTCTACTGAATGGCTGTCACTTTAGCACCCACTAGGAAATTAAAAAATTATGAGTCAAACCATTTTAAGTTGAACTAGGGAATCTCTGTATTTAGTAATTCAAAACAGACCTATGAGGGGCTGGGGATGTGGCTCAAGCGGTAGCACACTCACCTGGCATGCGTGCAGCCCGGGTTCGATCCTCAGTACCACGTACAAACAAAAAATGTTGTGTCCGCCGATAACTAAAAAATAAACATTAAAAAATTCTCTCTCTCTCTCTCTCTCTCTCTGTGTCTCTTAAAAAAAAAAAAAAACAGACTTATGAGATAGGTACTTTGATCTCTGATTTCAGGTGAGCTAGTTGAACCTGAGAGGAGCTAAGTAACTGCCCTCTAATTCAGGGTTCTCTGTTAATTAAAAAAATGGGTAAATGAGTGGTGTTTTTCTCAGACCTGCGAACCAGTTTCGTCTCTCTCTTTCTCCTATTCTTTAGTAGTGGTTTCCATTTGATCATTTTTCCAGGGCTTGTGGTATGATGCTGAGTTTTAAGCATGGTGTTATTGACTCTCCTAGGGTCCTACCCTTCCCCAAAGGCCGGAGCAACCCTGGTCGTGTACAAGGACCTGCTAGTGCTCTTTGGTGGCTGGACACGGCCAAGCCCTTATCCTCTACACCAACCGGAGAGATTCTTTGATGAAATACACACCTACTCGCCCTCTAAAAACTGGTAAGCCAAAAGATAAGCTTTAAATCTGGAAGGCAATGTTTTAAGTTATTGGATTCTTTATCTGTTTTGTGTCCAGAAACTGTTGGAGGCCAGGCATGGTAGCACATAGCTGTCATCCCAGCATCTGGGGAGGCAGAGACAGGAAGCTCATGAGTTCAAAGCCAGCCTCAGCAACTTAGCGAGGCCCTAAATAACTCAGTGAGACCCTGTCTGTAAATAAAATACAGAATACGGCTGGGGATGGGGCTCAGTGGTTGAGTGCCCGAGTTCAATCCCTGGTACCAAAAAAAAAAAAAAACTTGGAGAAATTGAAGAAAAGCCATGGACATTTCCCAGGAGGGGGAAAGGGGAAATGTATGTATACCCAGATTTTGCCTGTACTATCAGAGGATTTTCAGGACCCCTAGAACTTAAGTTAAGAACCTTTCTTCTTCTCCTTTCTTCTTTCTTCTTCATGCTCTTGGGATCAAACCCAGGGCCTCATGCATGCTTAGGTAAGTGCTTTACCACTGAGCCATATCCCAGCCCAAGAACTCTTTTTCCAAAGAGAAAAAGTAAAGGGGGTTTGCTCCTCTCTTAAAAAAAATGAATGAGCCAGTTGAAGAAGAGGGAGCTCTTCAGCCTTGGCTGGTAGTTCCCCTTAAGTGGTACAGAGCCACATGATTCCATCTGTTCTGCTTTGTCCCCAAGATGGATCTCAGCTGTTTTTCAGACATATCTTCTTGAAATGACAGCATCCCCTCTTCCATATAATGGAAAACTTAGAATGTGGTTCTTGGCAGGTGGTGTTCTTTCAGCACATCGGGCTGAAGAGGCCAAGAAGTCACGATTGCGTCCCTTGCCATTGATTTCTCATCTCTGTACTTTATCTCTAGACCAGCCACATTCAGAACTTGAAAGTGAATATAACTTTAAGACAGTTGTGTCATCTTCCTTTTATTATCCTAATAACATCTGCTGAGGTGATGGGATTATCATTTTTGAGTGTTGCGTGCTTAACTGATTTTTTGCTTTAAGTCTATAAAATCAGAAGCAGATGAAGCTGGACATGGTGGCATGTGCCTGTGAGTCCCAGCTACACAGGAGGCTGAGGACTGGGCAGCTTAGCAAGACCCCATCTCAGAAAACAGAAGCAGATGGTGCTGACTTCTCGGTTTCCTCCTGTTTGATTTGTTTGCATTAGGTGGAATTGCATTGTGACAACCCATGGGCCACCTCCCATGGCTGGCCACTCCTCCTGTGTGATAGATGATAAAATGATCGTCTTTGGTGGCTCTTTAGGATCCCGGCAAATGTAAGTATATTTGATTTGCTCCATGTTAACTTGAAGGTAAAATAATCATGAGAATAACAGCTCAGAAAAGTGAACTAGACACTAGGTACAATGTTCCTCAGCATAGTTGAAATTAATCCAGATAGTCATCTCACCTTGACATTTTATTCTGTGATTCTCAGTCGCACACCAGTAAGTTGGAAAGCTTGTCCTATAAAGTCAGGGTCGAATCAGATCTCTTTCTGTTGGACATGCGTACAGTAGGATCCAGTTCTGATTGAACTCCAATTCTGCTATACTGTGCCTACAGAAGGCCACCTTTCAGAAAGCAGGGTGCTTTTCCTTGCCCTACTTGACTACATAGCTTAGGCCCCTTTTAGAGAAGAAAGAGGGGTAGACAGGACAAGTAGAAATTGGGATGGGCTGGAAGAGTGGATAGAAGCAAGGGAATTATGTCAGGTATGTCACATTTCTTTGACATACACAACCACTCACTGTCCTCTCCACACTGGCCATTTCAGGCCAGAGTCACGAGCCAGAGCCATCGTCTGCAGTGCTATGTATCTGATTCAGCAGCTGCTGCAATACTGGTCATTTCTTCTGTTCTATCAGCTGGAGTGGATGGGCTGCCAGCAGTGAAGTCAGGCCAAACCCAGCTCTTTCCCCCTGACAGCACCTGCCATCTTCATATATTCTGTCCATCATGGAGAGAGACTAAAGGAGCTACCCTCCAAATGAGAGGGTTCAGGATTTAAGTTGAGGAGCTTGTGTAGGATCCTGTGTATGAACAGAGGACCATGAAGAGATGGCCATAAAATAGACTGCCATCCAGGAGTCTGTCCTGCCGTGCTGGTCTTTTGAGAGTTGGAGATGCCAGTGTGTCCTTGATAAAACTGATGCTTTCTTTAGCCATTATGAAACTATTTTTGTAACCAGAATCAATAAAGCTTTTAACCCCCAGACAATGATAGAGCTGCCTTTTGAATCATTTTTCTCTTCCTGTTTTTTGTTGTTTTGTCATTGTTATTGTTTAGAATAATTACAGTTCGATCAGTAGCTGTTTCCTCTGTCACTAATTACCAGGTCTCAAGATGAGTTCTAGGGACAGCAGGGGAAGGAACATAGTTTTAAGTGCTAACTATAAGCATGGCACTTTGCTGGACTTATTTATAAATATAACTTCATTTATATCTGCTCTTTAGAGTAGCAGTGTTTCTCTTTGATAGTAAGGAAACCAGAGTTAAAGAAAGTTAAAGTTTTTGTTCAGGCTGCAAGCTGGGATTCATAGTTGTCTTTCTGGTTCTGCACTCTGAGGAGACCATCTGAAGCCTCCCCTAGGCCAGTCTGGGTGAGTGGGAGAGTGGTGTGAGTTTACTACTGGGCACAGGCATCTGAAGCTCCCTGACCACCATTGTCACCCTGGGAGCTCCCAACCTCCTTCCTCATCCTTCTGTCCTTTTCTCACAGGAGCAATGATGTCTGGGTCCTTGACCTCGAGCAGTGGGCATGGTCCAAGCCGAACATCTCTGGCCCTAGTCCTCATCCTCGAGGTGGCCAATCTCAGGTGCTCAGGAATTAAAATAACTATTCCGCAAACTCTGTAGCGTCTTTCAGTTAGGACGGGAGAGGGAGGAGGGAGTCAGGTAAGATGCCAGTATGCACCAAGCCAAAGAGAATTTATCATTCTTTTTTACTACTGTTTATTTTTTGGCTTTTAATGGGTTGTATTATTTATAGTGGCTTTATATTATGCCTTGTCCCTAAGCATTTTCATTTCTCAAAGAGAACCCTTCATTTTAAGTGGCTTGAGACTCTCATGTTAATATTTGACCAACAAATAATGGATCCATTCAGGTGAATTGTCAGTAATTTGGTCAGAGGGATCAGACTTGACCTGGTTTGGGGAGAATGGGGAGCTTATGGTAACTAGAACACTCTTTTGGGGAGCTGGGGATGCTATTTCTGTATATCACTAGAGCATGGGAAGTCAGATAGCTATGTGTGTAAATTTATTTTAAATTTCTTCCCCTCCCCAGATTGTCATAGATGATGCAACTATCTTAATCCTTGGAGGGTGTGGTGGTCCCAATGCTGTGAGTATTGCTTGTGGCATTCCCATACACATGTTACTAAATGTTCAAAACTTGCTTCCCCTATCTTCTGTAAGAGTAGGCAGGCCAGACACAGTGCACGAGCCCATGATCCCAGCAACGAGGGGGGCTGAGGCAGGAGGATAGCAAATTCAAGGCCAGCCTCAGTAATTTAGCAAAGCCCTAAACAACTTTGCAAGAACCTGTCTCAAAATAAAAAGGGCTGGGGATATATGGCTCAGTGGCTCAGCACCCCTTGGTACTGAGTTTCCAGTACCAAGAAATAAAAAGAGTAGACAAGACTTTTCCATGGTATTTTTATTTAGAAAGTGCCTTTTCCACTTGGATATATAGCCTTCATTTTCTCTGGCCTTTTTTCCCGTTCTTTTTGGGTGTTGAGAGATGCTTTTAATTAGATATTTGTCTCTTGAATATTCATATCTATATTCTTCCTATTCCTTCTTAAGCTCTAAGGTTTGCTGCTATCATGTTTTCAAAGGCAAAGGGGCAGAGAGAGAAAAAAGCAGGTCGGTAACTGCCAGAGTCCACATGGAATTTACTTTAAAAGCAAATTCATAAAGTTGCAGGCATCTATTGTCAAACCCTTTCCTGCACCCCACTATCCACACACACAAAACCAGTTAATTCATGGATCACAAACACAGTTCTGTGTGTCAGACCAATCCATGGTAATGTAAATGAATGAATGAATGAATGTATAATTGAACAAATAACTGAGGGCTTTGTTATTCTTTCTGACCAGCCCACACACTTTCTAGACCAGACAGTATAGCTTGAGACTGCAGCTCTGTATGTGTGTAGCAGATGCCACACCTGAGTCCTGTTGTTGGTCCTTTTCTTACAGCTATTTAAGGATGCTTGGTTGTTGCACATGCATTCAGGTCCCTGGGCCTGGCAGCCACTCAAGGTAGAAAATGAAGATCACGGGGCTCCAGAATTGTGGTGCCATCCAGCCTGCCGGGTAAGCCAGGAACTGACAGGCCAGCAGAAGGAGAGATTCTAAACTGGAAAAACAAATTAATTTGACAAATTTCAAAGGAAAACTTACAGAATAGAAAACACTCTGGTGTCACAAAGAGGTGCTGTCAGCCAAGCACAGAGGCACACTCCTATAATCCCAGCTACTCATAAGCCTGAGGCAGGAGGATCATGAGTTCAAGGCCAGTATGAGCAACTTAGCAAGACCCTGTCTCAAAAAATAAAAAAAAGTGAAAATCGTAGCTCCTTTGCCATCTCTCGCATATATGAGCCACTAGATGGGAAAACATAAGTGGGCTAAGTGACCCCACTCATCCTCTAAGTCCTGACTTAAAGCATTTCTTATCTATGAAATCTTCCCCCAAGTCTTACAAACAAAACTATTTGCTCCCTCCACTCTGCTGTACTAACGTACAGATGTAACTAATAACGTGTCACACCAGGGCCGCAGTTGCTGCTGCATCTGCCTTTCTGTCCTAGAGAGCAGTCTGCATCATTTGTATCTCTAGATCATTTCCCTTCCATATCTCAAGGCTACAGAATGCCTGGTGAGTTCCAGATGCCTGTGTTTAAATGTTTGGTGGTTGAATGATGAGAATTATGGAAGAGTCTGTGAGCACAGGTCCTTTGTCTTCCAGGTGGGACAGTGCGTGGTGGTCTTCAGCCAGGCTCCTAGTGGGAGAGCCCCCCTCAGCCCCAGTTTGAACTCTCGTCCATCACCTATTAGTGCCACTCCTCCAGCCCTGGTCCCCGAAACCCGAGAGTACCGCTCCCAGTCTCCAGTAAGGAGTATGGATGAAGCGCCATGTGTTAACGGCCGCTGGGGAACACTGAGGCCCAGGGCTCAGAGGCAGACTCCCTCAGGTTCCCGGGAAGGGAGCCTCTCCCCAGCCAGAGGAGATGGCTCTCCCATCCTCAATGGCGGGAGTTTATCTCCAGGAACAGCAGCTGTTGGTGGTTCTTCCTTGGACAGCCCTGTACAGGCCATATCACCAAGCACTCCGTCTGCCTCTGAAGGATATGACTTAAAAATGGGACTTTCTTTGGCCCCCCGACGAGGGTCTTTACCAGATCAAAAAGATCTGAGATTGGGGTCAATAGATCTGAATTGGGACCTGAAACCTGCTTCTGGTAGCAATCATGTGGATGGTATGGACAACAGGACGGTTACAGGGAGTGTGAGACACCCTCCAGAACAGACCAATGGTGTCCATACCCCTCCACATGTGGCCAGCGCCCTTGCAGGGGCTGTCTCCCCTGGTGCCCTGCGTCGGAGTCTGGAAGCCATCAAAGCAATGTCATCCAAGGGCCCCTCAGCCTCTGCAGCACTAAGCCCTCCTCTTGGGTCTTCTCCAGGCTCCCCTGGGAGCCAGAGCCTGAGCAGTGGAGAAACAGTGCCCATACCCCGCCCAGGGCCTGCCCAAGGAGATGGACATTCCTTACCCCCCATTGCCCGCCGCCTGGGCCACCACCCTCCACAGTCCCTCAATGTTGGCAAACCCCTGTACCAGAGTATGAACTGCAAGCCCATGCAGATGTACGTGCTGGACATTAAAGACACCAAGGAGAAGGGGCGGGTCAAATGGAAAGTGTTTAATAGCAGCTCTGTGGTCGGGCCTCCTGAAACCAGCCTGCATACAGTGGTACAAGGCAGGGGCGAACTCATCATATTCGGAGGACTCATGGACAAGAAGCAGAATGTGAAGTACTACCCAAAAACAAACGCCTTGTACTTTGTACGAGCAAAGAGATAATGTGTTCAAAACCCCTTTCCCCTCTGTGGCTTTTAATTTGGAATTTTCCAGTGTGTGAGCATTTGGACTGAGAATTGGGAAAACAGCATTACTCCCCAAAACCAAAACTCCAATTCCCAGCCTACTCATGCCGGGCTGGGATCAAATCTCCATTAAGAAAAAAATTATATATGAAAAAAAAAATATATATATATATTATATAGCCAACTTTGTTTACAAAAAAGGGAGAGAGCTCCGTCCTGTTCAGATAAAATTGTTGCTGTGTTTTAGCAGAGGCTGTGCTGCCTTTTTCTACTTTGCTGTTAAATAGACCAAGAAGTTAGGGAACAGACTAACAATCGGTAATGTTCCAAAAGAAACTGAAGAGCCCCTGTAAATCTTTACGTGGCCTTCTCAGAATTAGAAAACGGAAGGGCATAGACAAGATGCAAAGGATTTCAGCCCCCGCCCCCGTGCTACAGGTGCTGGCAGGGTAAAAGTAACTTAAAGAAAACTGTCCTTCCCCTTCTCTTAAAACCGCAGAGGACCTGTGACAGCTCTGCAGAGATGCCCTGTATCTGGTTTCCTTCTGCCCTCTGACTGAGGGAAGTCCCTCAGCAGGGGATCTGTTCCACATGTGCCAGGATCATCTTGAAATAGTGTTTCCGACATCTGTCTGCCTAGTGTCCATTGGTCTTTTGAGTGCTCCCTGCATGTCTCAGAAAACGTGGTATCTGATTGTGGAATTTTCTGACAATCGTATTTGGTTGCAAGTTGCCAAAAACCATATTTGTTCTCCTTTTCCTTCTTTAGAATCAGTCCTCCTTGCTGCCTTACCCTGTTTATAGGCTGCTTTATTCCCAACCACCCCCATTTTGTTTGTTTGCATATGGATTTTTTTAAAGCTCTGAAACCTTTCTCACTGTCTTTTCTTTTACAAAGCTCGGGTGCCTGGAGAAAACAGAACACTTTCCCTGGTGTTACTAGGAGGCCAGTGTCATGAAGAATCCTTAAACCCTCAAGACACTGGGTTTCCCCTGTGGGCTTCTCTTACTTCCAAAGCACATTGGGCACACCTGTCCATGTTTGTGGAATGTGAAATTTGATCCTGGAAGGGAATCCTCACAATAGTTCCTTCCAGAAATGTTTTTTCCCCCTGTGACATGTCATCTGCCTGGCGACTGGGTTGAGCGTCATGTTCTTGACCTTTGTGACACATGGCTGACCTGGGGAGCAGATCCATCCTCTTATTCATGCATCACCCAAGCAGGGCTTGGACTTAGACTTTGCTTCATTTCTGAGATAAGGTGCACCCTAGTAGCACATTTTTTTGGTTAAAACAGAAAGTTGCAGGTCACTAGTCTAAACCAAGGCCTGGACATAGGAGATGTCAAAGTAAGTTTATTTCAAGTGGCACCATTAAAATATGGATTTTTGGCAATTTATCCTCAGTGGATAAAGGACTTTAATTTTGTCCTTAGGGCCTAAATTTTAAAACATGTTTCTCACCCCCACGCTCGTTTTCTTGTTAGCATTTCCCAAGCACAGACCAGGGCTGCAGCTGGCCCTGAGTCCTGGCTCTTAGCCAGCACTTAGCCGTCTGATAAGTGTTTTCTCCGGTTACATCATGATGAACCCTTCCCTTAGCCATTTGCTCTGCCTTCGTGGTCTTTGTGGGACAGGCCCCTTGGTGCCAAGCCCAGCAAAGGCCCTTTCATAGGGAGAGGTATGTGTTCCAGAAACTGCTGTACGTGCTCCCTCAGATGAGGAAACGACCATGTGCCTACTTCCTGCAGTATCCCACTACTCCAAGCCACGTACTCGGCTTTCCAACTCCCCCGCTCTGCAGCTGTGGCCAGTCCCTCCCTGGCCAAGACCATCTAATCATGTGGGGTCTTGATTCACAAAGCGAAGCCAGCCCAGAAGATCAGCAATTTCTGCATTGCTGCTGCTACTGCTGCTGCTGAACCTTGGTCATGACATTGTGTTTGTGCATGGACAGTGCCTCCAAACTTAGTCCTACTTCGATATCAACTACTCGGAAGCCTGAAAATTCAGAATCTCCACTTTGTAATCTTTCCCTTTGTCCTGTGGCCTTCTTAACCTAGCTGTAAGCTGTTGGTTCCTTCTACTTTCCCCAAGTAGCAGGCAGCGGAAATGCTGGTCCTCTTAGAAAATAACCCAGTTGCTCTGAACTCCATGGCACCCCAGTGTTACCCACGCTGCTGGGAACCAGACTGTCCGTTTACAGCCCTGAGAGAAAAATCTGCCTCATCCGCACCCGGTGGCTCCTGGGCACTGAGGGCCTTTGCTGTGGGAAGGCGACTCAGCACAGTCAAGGTGATGGTCTCCTCAGCCCTGGCAAGGCCACACGCACAGTGAGACTTCAGGTGTCTCGGCTGAGGTGAGTGTGCCCACAGTGTCCTCAGATCAGATTTGACCACGACTCCGTTTCGATGGTGATAACAATTTTGTCTTAAAATTGACTGAAAGAAAGGAGACAAAATACTTTTTTTAAACCCTCAGGAGCACCTAGCAAATATTTAACAGTATTTAAGTATTTAAAATACATCTTGTTTCTACTTGAAGCTTTAACCCTTCCATTCCTGCAAGTGTGCCTTTGAGAGCCCCAGGTGATAACTGTCTTCACCCGTCACCACATTGACCTCGTGTAGGAATTTTAGTCTCTTCTACCTTCTTGAACAGAGCTTCCTGTTCTCATCCCACATCGTGCAGCGGAGAGCGTTTTGTGTTGTCCCAGTTTCCACCCTTCCTCCACACTTGGATGGTGGACTCTTCAACCCTGCCCTGCCCCCATATGTGGGAGCACCAATTAGGTGTCAAAAGAAGTTTAAATTTTGTTTTTAAGGCAATACTGGGCTTACTCTCCTCCTACCCTCTGTGGGTTTGATTTTAATGTTTGAGTTGCATAGCAAGAGCTGAAACCATGAACTGTGTGGGAACTGTGTTGTAACTCTAAAGAAGAGGAGGAAGAAAGAAATCCATATGAGATGCTTGACTTTGAGGACAGAAAGCCACTGGCCTACGGAGAGCAAGGGGACATCCCCTTCCTTCACCTTGTCTTTCTGGATTTTCTTCTGCTTCGCTTGCTTCCTTCCCTTTCAAAGTGATGTACCTGGTTGGTTTGTCTGTCCGTCCTTGTCCTTGTGGTGGTCCTGGCATGGTGATGTGCTCTGCTTTGCATTATCTATGGTCTCACCAGCGCACAAGTCAGTGGGGAGGATCTGAACGTGCCCGGGGGCCAGGAAGCCTATGCTCTGGCAGCCTCCCTGGAACTGCAGAAGGCATGTTCTGCATGTCACCAGTGTGTGGCTCCCTTTCACCCTGTTCATCGTGAACGTGAGCAGACCTTAGTGTTGGCTCTGGTGTACTCTCTCCCTGCTCTGCTCCCCTCCCACCAACCAGGGTTCATGTCAGTGCACCCATCGTGCCTGGCGAAGCTGGTGCTGTGAGTGATGTTTCCCATACGACTCAGGGCTGCCAGGTGGCTCCCCCTGAGACAGTCATTTTAGGCACATAACAGTGTAGGAATGAAATGGATTTCATGGATATTTAAATCTGTCAATTTCATTTTTTGTTAATGTTTCCCCCAATGACTTTTTAGCAATTTAACAAATAAAACAAAATGGACAGAATTGTCATAACTGTTTTTTTATTAGGTACAGAAAAGAAAAAGTGCTGTGCTGGGAAGCATTTGGGATTGGAGGTTGATGTTAGAAGCAAAGTCATTGGCAAGGTGCTCTGTGTCCTCTAGGAGAGCTGTGTTCCTTGTCCCTTTCCTGGAACAACTGTTTAATAAGCCACTGTCTCCTGAGGGCTTGGTGTTGCAGAGCCTCTGTCCTGCTCTACAGGGAGACCCAAGGTGTGCTATGAGCTTGGAGTGGTGGCCCCAGGGCCAGGACAGCATCTGCATTGGCCTCCTAAGCAAAGAGCAAGGCACAGAACCCAGGGTCTTGAAGCAGTACAGCAAAGGTGGTTGGGAACACAGGCCAGACGGCCGGCCTAGAGGTCTTTGTTTTAATCCTGCCTCCCCTATTTACGACTTAACCTGGGGTATGTGTTTCCTTGCTTGTAAACAAAGTTTCTTCTTCCCTACAGGGTCATGAGGGTCAAGTGAAGCTGCACATGAAATGAAATAGCATAGTGCCTGGTCATAGTAAGTGGCGTCCACTGCCTGCCCAGGCCCCCAGCCAGGTGTTCTGCTTTTCTGCATATTAAGGGGCCAGAGGCCATGCTCATTGGGTATAAATGGTAGGACCTGGCTAGGGCAAGGGGGAGGCAGTGCCAGAACCACTGGCCTGTGTCCCTCTCCTGAGCCAGGTCGTCCACCCAAAGCCTCACATCACCCCTCCCCTGGAACCTGAGTAAGGTCCCTAGAAACTGGGCCTGGAGCACCCCCAGGTTCAGGCAGGACAAGAGGCATCACCTTGAAACCCAGCAGGCTGATGGGCTCCCCCTTCCCTGCCTTCTCACCTCCCAGGGGCAGGGCCAGTGTTCCCAGCTGAGTCCTGCCTCTGTCAGTGGCCATCACTACCCTTCATCCTTCAGAACGCCAGGGACAGAGCAGGTCGTTGTGCTCATGGATGCTTCAAGAAGCGACAGCCTTGCCACTTCCTGAGATTGTCAAGCAGAGGTTCGTCACTTTAATGGGAGACACAGCTGACATGCATCAGAGCAAGAGGAGCCTACATGTCCCCTCAACTCTTGATGAGGCTCTGTGGACTCAAAGGGCACATAGAAGGGAGACAGCAGGCTAGGGACCAGGACAGACCTAGATTCAAAAAGAGCTATTTAAGCTGGGCAAGTCATCCCACTTTGAGTCTCAATGGCGGTGATGATGCCATCTAGCAGTTCTGCTGGAACCAGCCAAAACTTGTCAATCCACTGAATGGGTGTGAGTCCCTGGAAGGCCACCTGGGGGCACCCTGTGAGAGGCATCCAGTGGGCCTTGGTGAGCTGTCAGGCAGTGGAGAAGCAAAGGAAAAAATGGCTAGCCTTCTCCTTCCCTCCCTCCCCCTGCTGGGAAAGCTTGGGTGGCACCCCCTCCCTGGTCTCTGCCTCCTCCTGATCACCATCCCAACGCTGGCCCTCTCCCTTCTTTGCCCCAGCCCCCAGCTGTGGGAAAGTTGGTGTTGTCTCCACAAGGCTGGGCTCCAGGCCCAGACCCTGTCAGCATGCACAAAGCCAAGCTAATGTCTTAAGTAAATGCCGAGTGTGTCATGCCCCTCTAGGGAGCCTGTCTGCCCACCCACCACAGGCAAGAGGAGGGCTGCTCCCCGAGCCATGGGAGCTTGAGGTGGGAGGAAGATGGCTGTGGCCCACTGGGAAGGCCAGGAAAGTCTGGAACTGACCCAGGGACCACTGTTCTCAGCAAACATTCCCAGAGCATCCGTTGATCCCTGCTAACCTGTGGCAGGGCAGGTGAAGCTGGAGCCTCTCTGGGCATCCCAGGTGGGTGGGATCTAAGCCTCACCCTGCAGGGAGCAGTCCAGGCCTCCACAGGACAGACAGACTGCCTGTGTTCCCGGCAGAATGCAAAAGGGCTGTAGGAGGCCTGGCATGCCCAGAGTAGCCAGTGGTAGGGACTGAGGAAAATGTAGAGTGACCTGTGTAGATTTGATGGACAGAGATCACCCCTTGATGGAACAGAGAGTAAAGCTCGGGAGCAGAGTCCTCAGTGGAAGGAGAGAACACTTCTTACAAAGAACTACACAGGTGGGCCCAGTGGAGTGTCTCCCTTCACCAGGAGGCCCCGCCAGAGAAGGCACCTGAAGAGAGGGAGCTCGGAGGCAGCTGTGCTTCCCTGGCATTTGCTCAGGCCTCGACAACAGGGAACATTACTCCCAGGGCTGGAAGAGGAGAAAATGGGGGGGAAAAAACTTGGAGAATGTTGAAATTGTCAAGAATCAAAAATAGCTGAACATGGGCTGGGGCTGTAGCTCAGTGGTGGAGCGCTTGCCTCACATGCGTGAGGCCCTGGGTTTGGTCTCTGGCACCACATCAAAATAAAAATAAAGATATTGTGTCCATCTATAACTAAAAAATATATATATGTATATATATTTTTTAAATAGCTGAACTTGAGTTTACCAGGAAGTCACTGAATTAAAATGTCTGCATCAGAGAGGTTAGAAGCTCAGAGACAGAATAAATGGAGTCAGAGGAAATAAAGTTTTGTGGGGGTTTTTGTTTGATTTTGGGGGGAGAATACCAGGGATTGAACTGGGGCACTTAACTACTGAGCCACACCCCCAGCCCTTTTTATTTTTTAGTCTGAGACTGGGTCTTGCTAAGTTGCTTAGGGCCTCACTAAGTTGCTGAGGCTTATTTTGAACTTTCACTCCTCCTGCCTCGGCTCCTGAGCTACTGGGATTACAGGCATGTGCCATTACACCCAGCCTTGATTTGATTTTTTTGAGACAGGGTCTCACTAAGTTGCCTAAGCTGGCCTTGAACTTGATAGCCTCCTGCCTCAGACTCCCAAGTAGCAGAGGTTATTGGTGTGTGCCACCACACCAGCTGTTTTTTTTTTTGCTTTTAAGGGACTGGGTATCATGGACATGGTGGCATACCTCTTAACCCCAGCTACTCAGGAGGCTTAAGCAGGAGGATTGAAAGTTCAAGGCCAGCCTTAGCAACTTAGGCCCTAAATCCTAAGCAATTTAGCAAGATCCTGTCTCAAAATTAAAAAAAAGAAAAAAGGCTAGGGTTGTGGCTCAGTGGTCAAGTACCCCTGGGTTCGATTCCCGGTAACAAAACAACAAAAAAAAGGGTTCTTAGGATCAAATGTAGGACCTTGACATGCTACACATACCCTCTACCCCTGAGCTACACATGTGACCCCGAGTTCTGTGTCTTAAACATCTGTGCTCTTGCTTGGTTAGAAGGAGAAAGAGCAGCTGGCCTGCCTGGAACACAGATGAGAGGGACCTGGACACATGCCAGAGGAGGCAGGGCGGGTTCCACTTGAGCAGCCTGCGCAAATGCAGAGGTCTGAGGCTCCGTCAGGCCCTTCTGGTACCTTAAGGTCACTGTGACTGGAGAGGACAGGGCAGAACTGGAGGACGGACTAGAGAAGGGTGAACTGAAGAGTAGAGCCCAGGAACAAGTATCCAGAGTGGGGCAGCGGCAACAAGGAGAGGACCTCATCAGAAAATGGAGCCAGGCGTGGTGGTGCACACCTGTAACCCCAGCAGCTTGGGAGGCTGAGACAGAAGAATCACGAGTTCAAAGCCAGCCTCAGGGGGCTGGGGATGTGGCTCAAGCGGTATCGCGCTCGCCTGGCATGCGCGGGGCGCTGGGTTCGATCCTCAGCACCACATAAAATGAAAAATAAAGATGTTGTGTCCGCCAAAAACTGAAAAATAAATATTAAAAAATAATTCTCTCTCTCCTCTCTAAAAAAAAAAACAAAAAACAAAGCCAGCCTCAGTATGGCGAGGCGCTAAGCAAGTCAGTGAGACCCTCCCCGTCTCTACATAAAAGGCAAATAGGGTTAGGGATGTGGTCATGTGCCCCTGAGTTCAATTCCTGGTACAAAAAAAAAAAAAAAATGTATTGGGTGGCCTGGAGCTGTGGCTCAGTGGTGGAGGAGCCTTGCCTACATGCATGAGGTTCCAAGTTCCATCCCAGACACTAGGAAAAAAAAAAAAAAGCAGGAGGTACCTCTCAGCCTCTGGTGAGTGATTGGAGCTAGGGGTGGAGGGGGAAAGGTCTGGCCAGGATTCATCACTGCATTCAACAAATACGAAGTCCCATGGGGGTAGGGGAGAGGGACAGGTGTGGGTAACGAGCTGAGAGCATCATCCCAGATGTAAATGGGCAGGATCGGGCTCATCCCATGAAGGGCTTGGCTGTATTTCCGCTGAGTCCTGAATGTAAAAAGCCAGTCGTGGGAAATCTGGAAGAGTGTTCCACACAGAGGGAGCACAGGAACGAAGGTCTGAGCTGGGCATGAACTTGACACACTGAAGAAGGAGAGGAAAACCCAGTCTAGCTGAGTGTATGAGTGAAGCGACATTGGGCAGGTGGGCCCTGTAGGGGTTTTGTGTTTTGCAGCACTGGGGACTGACCCCAGGGATGTTCTACCACTGGGCTATATTTCCAACCCTTTTTATTTTTGAGACGGTGTCTTGTTAAAATTGCTGAAGCTGGTCTTGAATTTGCAATCCTCCTGCCTCTGCCTCCCAACTGACTGGGATTACACAATGCCCAGCCATTAGAGGGTTTTAAGCCAGAGAGCAACACATGGTACTGCTGAGGACATTGACCTCAGGCTTCTCTCGGTCTTCAGCTCAGCTGGCTCTGGGCATCAGTCCCTCATCACTAGGCATCACTGCCAGGGGCCCTGACTCTGGACCAGCTTTGGTATCTGGCTACTTCATCTCAGCTACTTTCCAGTTCCTCTGCCTCTCCTGGGTCTGAACTCATGGCTGTCATTGCCCGGGTGGCATCCAGGCCTCTAGTCTGTCCACCTGTCTGAGGGATCTCATTTCCACACCCATTGCTTCAAGTTGATCTGCCTGCCTGTGCTGATTGTGCTGAACTCTGCCCAGGCCGCTCACCTGCATCCTAAGCCCCCCCCCACCTGCTGTGTCCTCTCCAGGGAGTCCCCACCAGGCCCTAGCACCCCAGG